CCTCAGAGGATTAGAGGCAGCTATGACTGGTCCATAAAAATTTACAATTTGTACAAATGTATGAACTTGATACCTTATTTTTCAGAAAAGAAACACAATATTCTACATTCTATTTAACTTTTATTTTCTGCCCAACAAAAAGCGTTGAGTGTTGAAATTTAATCATCCCGTGTCAAGAAAGAAATTGAGCTGAAGAAAAGGCTTACCTTGGCTTGGACGTGCCAGGGGTAGCAGGGGTTTTTACCACTATCCCAGCTTGTTTATGGCGTAGCTAATTATTTTCCATCGACATAAGCCTATATGCATCTGCATTAAAATTGAGTACAATCCAATTCTAAGCTACTAATAAATTAGTTTGATGATAGACTAATACGTACACAAATCAGATGTATTTAACTCTGGCACGAAGTTTGTTTTGAATTACCTATATAGACACACCCTAATACCACTTTCCAGCAAATGCAATCTTCGTTTATGAAGTCACTACATTTGCATTAAAAATATATAAAAACGAATTTTGCATAAAAAAATATTGAAATAAAAAAATGCAAAGAATTTTGCAAGAACTTATAAAAGTGGGGAAAAAAAAGTTGTATGTACATACTGGCAATAAATCCATGGTTCGGAAATTTTGGTGATTTTAGCAATTTGTCAGGGTAAAAAAAGGAGGCTGTCTAGCCTCCTGATTTACCCTAATTAACGTGTAAACTTTTTATCATGTAGCCATGAGATTGTTGGTTCGTCTTTCAGTTTCAGGCCTTGAGGTTCAGGTGCGTTTCGAAATCTTGGCTTTCTTTGATCTCGAACCCCAAGTTCATCCGAACCCATCTAGATAAATCCTCTAACAACAGCGGTCTTGAACACCACAGGGTGACTACTCGCTGTTACCTTTGGACATTTTACTTGGAGCAGCGCTCTTTCCACCCTGATTTACCTGGACTAATAGGCGAGCCAACTGATATATATTCTTATCTGGAGCCCAGCAGCCTGAAGTGGGAAAGACCTACAAAGATTTTGGGTTGCTCCTGTTGTGGTTCAGAACCAGAGTTGCAGCAGAAAAAGAAGGATCTATTGCAGAAATAATGCAAACTTGATTATAATGATGAATGAATAAAACAGTAAAATCTGGAGAGTTAGAGGAATAACTTCATTTCCATTAATGAACTTCCATAACTAACAGAGAACAGAAGAATATGGAATAGAAAAGAAGGGGAAAGATACATGAAGGAAGCTTGTGAAAGGGGGAATTGCAGAGAGGATATTCCTTCTCTGGTACAAGATCAAATCTGCCAAAAAGTCCGTCCCTAACTATTACATGACCCCCACGGTTTATCCCATTGCTATCCTAACTAACTTTCAAGTAGACCAATGAGCCTCTAACAAGTGTCTATTCCAGAATCCTCAGCTGAAATGGCCCCCAACAGAGGCGATTGCAAACGCGAACCCAGGAAAGGCGTGCTTCTAGATTCACGTCTCTTTCTGTCTTCACAGACTTCTCACGCCTTCCTCACTTTCTCCTTCACGCCTTCTTTCCAGCTGCTCCTCACTCGTGTTGCTTCTGTTGACTCCATTACACTCCGATGGGTTGGTTTTTTTTTTTTTTTTCAGGCATCGAATGAGTCTTTTTATTTGTGGAATCCTGCGATCAGAAAGTCCAAAAGATTACCTGATATGGATCACCATTAACAGATTGCCAACCCTTCTTTGAGTCGAATGGGTGGAGAAATGTTATTTAATTCTGGAAAGAGTTTCGCAGTATACAATCCAAAACATAAATCCTTATTTGGGACCTTGTGAAATCAGTGTATATGTTCAAAGCTTAGTTTTGCTTAATAATCATAATATATAAGAAGAGTTTAAGGTTGTTATCTGCTGCATTACTTGTAAACCATCGATCTCTCCTTTCTCCTTCAGTTATTGTAACTGATCATTCCTCATCACCAAGATGATTTACTCTTCTTCATGACAGCATTGATCAGAGGCCAGTGTGGATTTGTAACCATTTTTACTACTATGAAGGACCGCTATTAAGGATTAATTACATAACCAAAGTAGTGAACTCTAAATTTCATATAATCTTTTTCACTTTCAGGATTTTCGACATCTACACTTTAATTCCAGACTAGAAAACATAGTCATAAAGAATCAGTTTTCGTTGAAATTCTTTTACTACTCAAGAGGGCAATTTAATAAAAATCTACATGCTTTTCTCTACACTAGAGTGGGAACAAGAATATCTACTTTAGCAGAATTTGGACATAAAAATTAGACAATAATTACGAAAGGTTGTGGAGTGTCATATAATCTATTGAAGAGAATAATTCAAGTGATCCTATTGAGAAAGCCATCTCCATTACTATAAGCTATATTCCTCAAATCAACCGATCTTTCGGCCAAAAAGCAGTCAAAAGCACAATCAAATGACTCTAAAAGTGGGGGAAAATGGAACACATCGTAACAGCTTTTTGACTTGAAAACAAAAGGCTCAGAAATTTGAGCATGGCTACAAAGAGAGAGGGCCCTAGTGTTCGGCATTTCTCTCTGTCGTGTTTGGCTCTTTTTCAAATGAAAATGTTAGAATTTGCATTGTTTTATGTAGGAATTAAGCTCAATTCAACGGGCTAGCAAAAATGTTGGACGAAAAGATAAGTGTTCAAAGTAAATTTTGACTTGGAGGAAAACTTTGCTCGTCTTTGTTCAACAATGATTAGTACAGCTAAATATTCCTAGGTCTCCGAACAATTCTTTGTTCTTCTATGACACTAGAATTTCTCCATTTGCAGACACCATTTACATTTCGAATCTTATTAGGCTTTGCTTGGATTGAAAAATCTGACGAATGCTTTAAAATCTACTCGAACTGCTTAAATTGTTTGCATTGTTTAAGAGGGATTTGGGCTTGTAATCCATCAATTATCTAAATGTATTTTAGATACTAGAATAATTGGTGATTGATAAGTCTAAGTACCTCTTAGGTAATCTAAACAACTAGAGGAATTTGATATGATCTTAAATACTTCATTTAATTTCTCAATCGAAACGCAATCATAGAACCTCAAAACCTTGCCATCAAAATCCCAACATATCACTGTATATGCCATCGTAATCTTTTTCTAGATGCTAAAATTGCTAACCCTAGGGCATTCCTAGACGTGAAAATTGGTCCAGAAATCATCAATTTACCAGACTAAATTTTGAGTTTCATAATAATTTTTGTTTAGAAAATATTTTACATTTTTTTTTTACAAGGAGAGACTCCAAAACTTGTCAGAAAAAAGAGTAAAAGGGGAAGATTTGAAAGTCGAATCACAAACCTCACGGTCCACCTATTTAACACCCCTACCAAATAATCTAGGTCTCAGAAAAAAAAATCTTTTATCTTTTTTATCTCCGTTATTAAATAAGTTTTGAATTTTATAAAAAATTTGATTAGTATTTGGTGTCAGAAATGTTGGGCCAGATATTAGACCCAAAGTTATCTTGTTATCAGATCCATACTAACCCAGCAAAATTGCCGAATAATTTTCTTTTCTTAATCTATACTAACCCCAGCAAAATAACTGACTGGGGAATGCTATACAAAAGAACCACCAAAACATTTTAAAAGCCTACCTTTACCATGCCGACTAAAAAATTATTTGGTTTCGACTTCAATTACAACCACAAATAATGCCGCACCCTAAAATAACATGTCCGCTAGAATGTCTGCCTTTACTAATTCAATCAACTTATTTTAGCTTAAAAGTTTAAATTCTGAAACAGTGATTCATCTCCCAATTCCCCAATAAAGCACTTCACTCATATTCAATTTTGGTCCGGATATGAATTATCTTTTATATGTATAATGTTGGATTGTTACATTTACTGGGACGTGTAAATTCTTTTCATAAGAAACCTCCCTGAGGTTTCTTCTAATCACACCAAGCACCCCTCATGTTTTCGAAATCACAACCAATTGCATTTCATCTTCATCAACCAGCCATAGCTAATACATCTAGTAGCTCCCAGTTTTCTCAATTCATCATGGATTCAGCCTAAAACATCCCACAGTTTGACACAAGAAGTCGTCACAGGTCAATAACTATAAAAGGCAAAAGCAAAATGCCAATTAGCAATCATAGTCAGATTGATACATTGGGTCAAAAACAAACTCTGGAATATACAATTAGAAGGTTCCAAAACATGCATCAACTTCTTGCATGTGGTGAACGAAAACCTGTTAAGTTCCAGCTGAGTCTTCAAGGTATAGAGACCTCAGCTCAAAGAGAAGTTAAATTTATGTATAATTTTAGGAACAAAACAATTCCTATGTTACATAAACAATGGTCATTGAAACTCTGGGGAAATACTCCTCCAAAAAAAAAAGGCTCTGGGGAAATGGTTATCTTTAGCTGCAGTCTCTGTTACTGAATAGTAGAAAAAAGTGCAGCCAGTCAAGCTTCTGCATTGCTTGAGTAGTAAATTGATGGATCTGATCGATGATGATAATCCCATATATTTGAGCAAGTCATATGTCCATATATATATATATATATATATATAATCTCAGAAATGAATTGAGGAAATGGATAAGTTGCTCTAAATTGATCAAATAGACTTACGAATGCAGAGTCCTTATAAGGACTTTGATATAGTCCTTTTCTTCCACAATCTTAGTTGCTCACTTTTCTGCAGATTCTTCACACCGATGCACTTGAATCATCCCCAATTCAGATATGTTTGGAAAATCCTCAGGAATTTCCTGGTATTTGGAATTTCCTGACGCAAGTCTTTCAAGCTTGTTGAGATCCTCTGGGCAATGTTCAGATTTCCTAAGCTCAAGAACTTTGACTGTTTGGTGCTCTTCTTCCTCATCCCATAGCTGCCCCTCCAAGGCATCAGAATGTGGCTTGAGAACTCCCAAGCCTGGTAGACCAGCATGATGAACGCGATTGAAAATAATAATTAAAAATATATATACAGAATGAGCTTCCTAATGAGTAAGATCAAACACAAAGCCATTGGTAACAAGAAGCAATTGCGTTTTAGTATTACCAAACAAGCATTCATAAAACATTTAGTAGCTCCCTGCTTCGTAGAGTTCATCATGGGTTCAGCAGAAAACAACCAACTGTATGAGATGACAAGTTGGCACAGCTCAGTACCATTAGACAAAAAACGAAACACTAAAATGCCACTTAGCAATCAAATTCAGACACATTGTTACATTAGTTGGTACATTATCTAACAAACATAATATTTAATATAAAAGTAGAAAGTTCCCATGTAAGGCAAAGCTTGGCATCAGCGTCTTGCTTGTGGTGAAAGAAATCCTCTGAAGTTCCAGCTGATCCTTCAAAGTATAGACTTCAGCATTCTTTCGTTGAGCACCAATACCCCGGGATATATAAATCAGGAGTTTTCACAAATTCAACCTAGAACAAGGCAAAGAAATGCTCTCACGGACTAGATTCAAACATAATTTATTACACCAAAAAGTACTAGACAAAGAAGTTACGAGTGTTCAGTTCCTGAATTAGCAATTAACAGTATTGAATCGGGCTATTGGATAAGTAGCTGGAAATTCATCAGTGGACTTAGAAGTGAGTGGAAGAATACAGTAGTGTGATTCAAGTAATGCTTATGACCTCAAATTTGAACTCCTGATGAGGACTTTTATCTCCCCGGTTGCTTTCCCAATCTCAATTGCCGACTCTTCCACAGATTGTCCACACCAATGCACTTCAATTGTTTCCAATGAAGTTATGTCAGAAAGATCTTCCGGGATTTTCTCAAGGTCTTTGCAATGTTGCAGGACAAGTCTCTCAAGTCTGGGGAGATGGTCATAAGAGGCATTCCATTCGGCGATATCCAGAGTCTCTAAGCTCAAGAACTTGAGTTTTTGGAACTCGTCTTCCATCATGTCCCATGTTCGCCCCATAAAGGCACCAGAAAGTAACTTGAGAACTTCCAAGTTTGGTAGACTGCTAATTGCAGAGATATGAGTCCATGGTAAGCAGAAGCGTGATAAAGTCAATTCCTTCAAACTCAATGGCAGATTGAACTCGGCATTGTGAAGAGGGTTCCCGTAGTAAAAGATCTTGAGGGACTCCAAATGAGACAGAAACTTCAACCTTGGAAACCGATTGTAACTGGTGGAAGAATCTTGTGATTCATAGAATATGCAACTTAATTTGCAAAGATTTGGAAGCCTCTTGATTATCCTTTCTGCATCCTCACCACAAGAAAGAGATGGGCAGGAAAAGCTGACCAAATTTGCAGAGCTATCAACAAGTTCTTCAACATCTGAGTCGAATGCAACATGAACATTGACATGAAGATGCCTAAAACAAGTCATGCACCAGATAATATTTGGTAAGATGATCTTACCACGCAATCCCTTCACAACAAGAGTTTCTAATTTCCTGAGGTTGGCCATCGAATGTGGAATAGATCGCATGTAGCGTCCAACTGCTAAATATCTCAAGAAGAGAAGCAGTCCGATTTCAACAGGAAAAGAAACACCCAAATTAATGCATTCAAAATCCAACACCCTAAGTAATTTGAAGATGTGCCAAATGAATGAAATGTCATAAGGGCATGTAGGTTCGGAATCTGTTGATGCAAAGAACACCAAAGAACGGGTGGCCAAGCCAGAAGGTTTTGATTCAACAAAGTGGTTTCGCTTCAAAGATATAGCCAACCTAGAGGATGCAAATGATACAGGAGATGAATGACAGTAAAAATCAAATTTGAAATCATAATCTATGGTAGTAAAATAAGCTTATGGATTGTCAGACCTGGCTATCGGCTGAAAGAATTCTCATCCTCGGTTTTAGACTTACAGAAATCAAGGACAAGATCATGGAGGTGACATGCTCTAACCTTGCCATTGGATCTTCTTTTGGAGATTATCACCAAGCTTCTGTCAATTAGATCCATCAAGAAAGCCTTGGCTAAATCGTCAAAGCGCTTCTTGGTGTCTGGTATGAAACCTTCCGCGACCCAAAGCCGCATCAACTTGCTGACAAGAATATCTTTGTCTTCATTAAGAACTCCCAAATACAGAAAGCATGACTTAAAATATGCCGGCAAGTGTTTGTAGCTGAGATCTGTGACTTCTTTGCACCAAGCTTCTGGATTATTTGGAAGACAACAACGTGCAGTGAGTTTCAAGAGGACAACAAATGCCTTTCCAGAATTTACATAGCTTTGCAATTTATGAAATAGCAGATTAAGTAGTTTTCAACTAGCTATATGTCTTGAACCAAATAGAAATACAACAGATATCATCCAAAAATGGAGCAATTGTATAAGTAGCTAGAAATTCATTAAATAGACTTACAAGTATGTGATCCAAATTGTGCTCATGATCTCAAATTTGAACTCCTAATAAGGACTTCAATATCTCCATATTCTTCTTCAATCTTCTTTGCAGATTCTTCTGCAGATCTTCCACACCAATGCACTTCAATCATTCCCAATGTATATATGTTTCCAAAGTCCTCTGGAATTTCTTCAAGGTCTTTGCAATTTTGTAAGACAAGTCTTTCAAGCTTGGGAAAATCATCACAAGAGGCATTCCATTGAGCAATGTTCAAATTGTCTAATCTCAAGAACTTAAGATTCTGAAACTCTTCTTCCACGTCCCATATCTTCCCCTCAAAGGCACCAGAAAGTAACTTGAGAACTTTTAGGTTTGGTAGTCTCCCAATTGTGGAGATATGACTCCATGGAAGGCGAAAGTTTGATAAAGTCAGTTTCTTTAGATTCAAAGGGAGGCTGAACTCGCCATTGTTAAGAGGGCTTCCATAGTAGAATATCTTGAGTGACTCCAAATGAGTGAGACAGTTCAATCTCGGAAAATGATTGCAGTTCATGGAAGAATCTGGTGATTCATAGAATATGCAACTCAGTTTGCAAAGATTTGGAAGCCTCTTTATAATCCTTTCTGCATCTTCACCACAAGAAAGAGATGGGCAGGAAAAACTGACCAAATTTTCTAATATAAAGCTATCACCAAGCTCTTCAGCATCTGAGTCGAAAGCAACATGGAGATTGACATGAAGATGCCTTAAACTTGTGATGCGCCAGATGGTATTTGGTAAGGTGATCTTACCACTTAATCCCTTAACAATTAGAGTTTTCAGTTTCCTGAGGTCGGCTATCGACTGTGGAATGGACTTCAAATAGCCTCCAACTGCTAAATATCTCAATTGTACCAGAATTCCAATTTCTATAGGAAGTGAAATACCCAAATTGAAGCATTCAAAATCCAAGACCCTAAGCAATTTGAAGTTGTGACAAATGAATGAGACTTCATAAGGCCGTTCTGGTTTAGAATCTCTAGACGCAAAGAACACCAAAGAACGGGTGGCCAAGCCAGAAGGTTTTGATTCAACAAAGTGGATTCGCTTCAAATATATAGCCAACCGATAGGATGCAAATGATGCAGCAGATGAATGATGGTAAAAATCAAATTCGAAACCATAATCTGTACTAGGAAAAGAAGTGTATGGATTGTCAGACCTGGTTACCAGCTGAAAGAAGTTCTCATCCTTGGTTTTAGACTTGCAGAAATCAAGGACAAGATCATGGAGGCGACATGCTCTAACCTTGCCGTTGGATCTTCTTTTGGAGATTATCACCAAGCTTCTGTCAATCAGGTCCATCAAGAAAGCCTCTGCAACATCTTCAAAGCCCTTCTTCTTAGTTTCTGGTACGAAACCTTCTGCTATCCAAAACCGTATCAACTTGCTGACAAGAATATCTCTGTCTTCATTAAGAACTCCCAAATACAGAAAGCATGATTTAAGATATTCTGGCAAGTGTTTGTAGCTGAGATCTATGACTTCTTTGCACCGAGCTTCTGGATTATCAATTATATGTGAGCTCAAGGTATCTGCTATTCTTTTCCATGAACTTTGGCTTTTTCCTGTTGTTTTTAGTATACCAGCAACAGCAACAACAGCAAGAGGCAATCCTTGACAGTGATAAGCAATTTCCTTTCCGATTCCCAACAGCTCATCGGGGCAACATTCTTCCTTGAATACCTTCTTTTCTAACAGCTGCCAACTTTCCTCATGAGAAAAAAGGCTAAGAGAAAGTGGATTACTTTCTGGTTTAATTTCCATGGCCACTCTACGGAGGCGACTGGTGAACAGAATTCTACTTCCATTTGCATCATCTGGGAATGAGTTTTTCAAGTCATTCCACGATCCAACATCCCAAATGTCATCGATAACTATGAGATACTTGTTTTTCAGTAGCGACTTGCGCAATTTATCTTTGAGTTCTTCATCCCTCATTTGGCGAATCTCTTCCGTGAGCCCCTGAATCCCCGCTAGAATTTCCAGCAATAATCTCCCTTTCTCATATTCTTGGGAAACAGTGCACCATGCGCGAAGATGGAAGTGACTCGCGACACTAAGACTGCTGTACACCTTCCTCGCCAATGTTGTCTTGCCTAAACCAGGCATTCCATCAATAAAAACAATATCCAGCTTTGAGGATCCTCTAATAAGCTGGTTGCGAATTTCGTTTTCTCTATTGCTGAGATCCACCACAATTTCGTCAATAGCTGGTGTACTCTTTCTCGATAACCTGTCAAATGAAACCTGGGTGACATTCTTGGAATCTTGGACTTCCGCATCAGGGGTAGTCAAATGAATTCCCCCGGCGTTCTCACTAAGAAGTCTTAACTCCTCCAGCACATTGTCCAACCAGAAGTAGTCCTGCCATTGAGCATCAACCTCAATTGAATCAATTATGTACTCCGCTTTATATGCCGCATCAATGACTCGATTAACGAGATCTTCTAGCTCTGGATTCTCCTTGATGTGCAACTGTGAAACATTCTCGAGAAAAGACCTCAACGATTGGAGATGTGTTTGAATCTCTTCCATGTGGTGCTTCGCCAATGCAGTTGATGCAGGATTATATATCAGCAGATCCCCAAGGTTTCTCCACAGCAAATCAATGAAATTCAGACTGGAAGTCTTGGGGAAATCAAACCTTGGAAATTTAGGAATAATATCTGTGATCTTCGCCTTGATCAAATGCGTCTCCTTATCTAACAGCTCAGAAAAAGAAAGGCTGGTCATTTCATCTCGTGTGTCAAGGAAATAGTAAGAGAAACATGTCAGTCTCCTAACAGATTCTCCAATTGCTCCTAATACGTCCTCTCTGACCTTAATTATCTCATCTGAGGGAATTTGCCTGATATACTCAACCCTCTGAAGGAAGAGTTCAAGGAGATCTTTTTCACGAACCGTAAGCCTATCATCATTCCTGCTCTTCGGAAGTAATGGCTCCATCAGAAATGACTCTCCCTCGAATATCACAATCTTAGAACGAAGTAGCATAAGTGAGTTTGTCAGCGTGGACGCTGTGATTTCCGTGAGCATAGATGACTTATAAAGAGATTTTTCCTCCTCGAATGTTGATTCAATCAGTGCCAACAACTTTTTCCAATCCGATCTTGCTTTTATGGGCAACTTCTCGGAATATCTCCGCAGTCTTTCGGGGATTTGTCTACATTTGTCCATGACATCTTCAAAACCAGGAAGCATACTGAAGGAAAAGGAAGAAGCGTTTGTATTGTTTTTCATGCTGTGGATTTGCACCACAAGGAAAAGCTCTGTCTCGAGAAGACAAATTTTTGAAAGTAACTCAGAACCAAGAGATGCCACCTCTACTAGCACACGGCCAGTTGACTCGAATATAGATGCCATCTCAACTAGCACAGCATGAAGTTCTGGAATGAAAATTGGTGCTGCGTCCTCATCATCTAGTATAGAAGTGGTGCAGAGAAAAAGCTGTAATAGGGGGAACACCTCTGCTCGAAAATGTCCATATTCACCCAAGAAGAGATAGTGGCAAAAACTCTCCAGAAAATTCGCCAACGCAGCCTTCTCAGTGGAGCGAGCCATAAGGAAATCGAGAAGAAAACGCATGAATTTGGGATTACTAGGATGAATTTCACGGTACAAATTGACCAGGAACTCAATCAGTTCTCCTTTCATCACTTGGATTCGACCGGCCTTGCAATTTAACCAGTAATCGCTACACCGGTTTGCAATTTGTAGGACCAGGGATAAAACATGGCCAACGCAAGCATCAAAGCTAGGCAGTCCACGAGCATCATAACGATGATAAGTATGCTGCAGCACGTCATCTGTTGTTCCTCCAAATCTCAAGAATTTGCGGGCATCAAATGATGGAACAAGGTAATAATCTATGTAGCTTATACAATGATACAAGGAACGGAAATGGATCTTTACACTAGAATCTTCACAACCCCAGTGCTTAGCTGCCATATGGCCGATTGCGGACACAGTTAATCGTACATGTAGTAGTAAATATTTGCAGAAGTCGAGATCAAGTACAAATGAGCTGCTGCAGCCGCCGCTGCCGCCGCCGCCTCTGCCTCCGCCTCTTGACCACATCAAGTACAAATGGTCAAGAGCTTCTCCAATTTCATCAATCAAAAGCTTGGTTCTTTCCCCACAATCAAGGGCTAATTCGTTTAGGAATTCTACATCGTTTACACGGTGATCATCCACCATGTTTTTTTCACGGAAACGAATAATTTCCTGGACAATCTCCTCAGCTGTAGCTTCAATCTTGAGGCAGATGTGCATATTCTTCTTCTCGGCATAAATCCCCTTCCGAGCAGATCTCCAAACTTTTCTCAAAAATTCCCAATCATCTGTGACTTTTGCTAGGACGATCGAGCTATGCTTTATGCCTTTCAGTGCAGAATCAAGGCGATCCAAGCTTGAAGAACCAGCACCACCGGCAGACGCCATCATCTCCAAAATTTTCTACTATAGATCAATAATCTCTCTGATCAAAAACTTTCGTATTTCTGTACTAAAATATTGTCCCTACTTGCATATATTCTCTGTTCATTCCAAAACAGAAGGAACTATAACGTACATGCTATTATCAATATCAGCCACCCACATTCAGAAAATAATATGTGTTCAGATTATTAGGTAGGTGTTGGCCGTAGCGCGTGAGCAAGTTAGTATAAAGTATGTTGATGAAAATAATTTCAAAAAGCAGCAACTGATTAAATTATGCTCAGAGTTCAAATGCAATCAACTAGTATTAAATTATGCTCAAAGTTCATATGCAATCTTTTTTTTTTTTTTATTAAGGAGTGTCCGGGTCGATTCTTACGGGGCCTGACTAATTCCTTGCGATCCGGATCCGACGTCTCAATCCGGTCCGAACATGTTAAATGCGCGGAGAAATCTAGTGGAGCGAAGACTCGAACTTATGACCTCAAGATTCATTTGTGAGAGCCGCTGCCGCTGGACCATTCACGCGGGAGCGTTCATATGCAATCAATAATATAATTTGTGATGAATGTACTTTGATTTAGTCAACAGTCAACTCAGTGAAAAATGCTTTCTTACAGGGTGACCCTACCAATTAGACAGGAGACCCTTCCATCGAAAATCAACTTTAGGCTACTTTACATTTACATTTGCCGGTGGCAACTTAGTCACACAAGCAAGAAACACGAGGTGGTGATTTTGTCCGGTGCATAAGCTGAGTTTATAGGAATAATTAAACGGGTGCGTGAATTTCTTTGACTTAAAAAGTTACTGCCAATATTAGTCGTGCTTCAACTTCCGCGAAATGAATTTGTTTTGTGATAATAAAATTGCCATCGACATTTGTCATAATTCAATTCAAAATGATTGAACTAAACATGTAGAGATAGATTGGCACTGGTTAATAAATGGGTATTATTGAGTAACCCATCAAACTCAATTAACGCATTTAGAATTGTCTTCTCCCAAAGCTCCTCTCTTCCTCCATCCACTTTTTTTTCAAAATTTTTATTTTGTCATGATGTTAATTACTTTTGTTTCATTATTATTATTATTATTTGTTGACTTTATTTTATCATTTTATTTTCTCTTAATTTGTTAACTTACTCATTTTTCAGCATTACCAATTTATGACAAGTTTTAACCTCTTTTCTTACTTTTCCAAAATGAAAATTTAAATTTACACACAAAAAATGCTGAAGGTTCAAAATTTTTGAATTAAATTTTTATGTTAACTTTTATAATACTTAGTTCAAATTTTTATATTCTTGTTGGTTAATTATTAAATAGTATGTAATTTTGCGACATAGAGTACGGATGAGAAAAAATTGATAATTAGGCTTATTGAGCATTATAAGTAAATATTTAAAACTAATGATAGGTGCAAAGGATGGTATAAATTGATAACTTAGTTTGTAAAAATAAATTTAAATGAATTTACAAAAGTTAAAATAAATGGGTTATAAATGGGTAATTGAGTTACTCAATTCATTTTTTGACTTATCCATTTATACTCATCTAATTAAATGGGTATAAATGAGTTGACTCACTTATATCCATTACTCATTTTTTCCAACTCAAACTCACCCAAATTTACCCATTTTGACACCTCTAATGGAACCCATCTACCAGAAAATCCAAGAAACTGCTTGTTACGGGTTTTACAAGGATGCAGCACAGCTACACAATGTACGGCTTTGGGTATGACGCGACTCCCCCTGACACAAATCTAATCATGCCAATTATCGTTATTTCAAAGCAATTAAACAATTATGGATTTAATGCCCTAATTGACAATAGATTATCAAGTTAACTAATTATCCGGATCCAAAGCAATCAATTAATTGAACAATCACAAACACTGTAATTAGGGAATATGCAAATATCCATAAATAAAAGAAAAAGATAAAATTAAATTGATCTCACAATTTTTAGACAAACCAAAACCTCCGTTGTTCCTTGACTAGCGTAAAGAAATTAGTTCATATTTGATGCAAAAAATCCATACAAGATTGAAGCAAATGTCAGCTGCCATTATTGTCTCTGTAATTGGGAGAATTCAATTTGTTTTTTTTTTTCTTTCTTCCAAGCCCAAAGGACTTACGTCACTTTTTACAAACCTAAACCCCGAGAGAACCCCAAAAGCCGGTATCTCTTGAAGTCCCACAGGAGACTTATAACTACCAACCCAACCCCTAATTCAATTTGTTCGAATATTTGAAAAGATAGCAAAGCTACTGCAATTGATTCTATGATTCCTAATTGTCCGGGCATTCGAGAAGAAGGCTACACAAGGATGGAAAACGGAAAAGTCAAAGTTGTTCCATCTCTGCCTGACATGCGTAAGAATGAAAACAACCAAAAAAAAAAGATCCAAAGGAAAAGTCAAAGAAAAACTAAGCTAACGGAGACCGAAATCCTCTGCTACCTCTTATGTCTATCTAATTCCTATCTAAGTCCCTTTTTTTCGATGCTCTGTGCGGCGGCCCTCCAAGGGAAAAAGAACACCCAAACCCTCCGTCTATCCTTGCCTTTGCAGGAATTATCAAAATGAGCGTAACGTCTTCTTTTTCAAAAATACCCCTGGGACAAGCTTTATCCTTTGAATTTCTTTTCTGTCAAATTAGCACTTGTTATTATATTTTCGTTCTATTCCCTAAAATAAATATAAAATACTAAAAGTGAGTAGAATCCAATAATTAATTCATATCGAATCAAGTAATAAGAGAAATTAATAATAAAATAAATAATAAAATCCCAACCTATGATTTCGGATTTTACAAGGATGCAGCACAGCTACACAATGTACGGCTTTGGGTATGACGCGACTAATGATGACTATAATGTGGTAGACATTTCTCACGCTCTTGATCTTGCGAAGATTGAGACCAAGGTTTACAGTATGAAGACTGATACTTGGAGGAGGATTGATGATTTTCCGGGTCTTTTGCCTTTCGATAGTTGGGGAAAATATGTTAATGGAAAGCTCCATTGGGCTGGATATAGTGGTGACAAGGACACGGGGATTATTTCTTTTGATTTGATTGAAGCAGAGTACAGAAAAGTGAAGCTTCCGACTAGGGGAGAAGGAGCTTGGAGTCCAACGCTAGAAGCATTGGGAAGATGCCTTTGTATGACTTATGAGTTTCACAATTCAGGTACTCTGGATTTATGGGCTAATTGCTTAGAATATATGTAACAAAAAAAAAATATCGCACAAATGTATCTCTGATACACACCATTTCTCATTTTATACCTACCGCGCTGATTGGACACGGCCGCAGAACGAATTGTTAGAAATTCTGCAAAAATGTCAGTGGATAGCGGCCCACAATTTTTTCTTTAATTAGCTTGTCCCCAGCCGTGCTGACTGGGCAGGGTTAGGGACAGGCGGCAAAAAAAAAGGGCCAGCAAATGGGATGCATTTGGGGACATGAATTTTGTAGCAAAATTGAAACGAAAGGCCATACAAATTCACTGCACTAGCTGCCCTCTTTCTTTCTTTCACTCTTTTCTTTGCTCTTTATTTCTTGGAAGAGATATCTAAACGATTTTATTGCACTAATCCTAATCAAAGATTTTGATTTTATAACTTAAAGATTTTGCTGTGGAGTCTTATAACACTTAAGTTAGGAAGATCAAATTTTCAAAGTGGAAATGAAAGATTATTATATTTTTCAAACTGCAAATTAATATAATTCTATGTACAATGAAAATTCAATGCTTGCTCAAATTTTTTGACGAACAACATGTGTAAGCTAATATATGAATATTTATATGTAAATTAAATGCAGTATATACAGGACAAAATTCATGAATAAGAATCCATATATGTAAAATTGATATACATTTTTTAAATTTTTGCTAGTAATTAGATACATTTGTGACTAACTGGTATTCAAAGCTAAATTTTAATCACTGAAATGTATGTAAATGTATAATTACCTATATTAACATTTACATTATACAATTGTCTTGAGTTCCTAACTTAAGTGTTATAAGACTCCACAGCAAAATCTTTAAGTTATAAAACCAAAATCTTTGATTAGGATTAGTGCAATAAAATCGTTTAGATATCTCTTCCAAGAAATAAAGAGCAAAGAAAAGAGTGAAAGAAAGAAAAAGGGCAGCTAGTGCAGTGAATTTGTATGGCCTTCCGTTTCACTTTTGCTACAAAATTCATGTCCCAAAATACATCCCATTTGCTGGCCCTTTTTTTTTGCCACCTGTCCCCAGCCGTGCTCAATCAGCACGGCTGGGGATAGGCTAATTAAAAAAAAATTGTGGGTCGCTGACCCGCTGACATTTTTGTAGAGTTTCTGACAATTCGTTCTGCAGCCATGCCTAGTCAGCACGGCAGATATAGAATGCGAAATGGTGTGTGTCAGAGATACATTTGTGCGATGTTTTTTTTTTTTTTTTTTTTACATATATTCTAAGCAATTAGCCGGATTTATGGCTGTTAAAGGAGTATGAAATGAAAGAGCCCTGGACTAAGGTTCTTCATTTTCCAAGTTTCTGTCCTCGCAATCCCATGCCATTGTGGATTTCGTTGAGTTACCCCAAGGTTATGAACAAGGAATATTGCTCAGGTGCAACCATCTATGTGGAGAGCCTTGTTTCCGCAAATGCAAGTGACAAAGAAGAAATGGAAAAGTTAAAATGAAATCCTTTGCTATTTGACTAATGATGTATCCTTATACTATATAAAATTTGTTTTGGTCAAAGAGGGAGTTGAATTTCAACTGCATGGGTGGGGGCATTTTAGAAATTTAAAAAATATATTGCTTTTTTCAAGCTTTTGGTACAACTAATTGTAACATGTGTTTAGGGTGTTTTTACATTAAAAGCCCCATATTTGTACATTTAAAACTTATATTTATAGACACATCTGGGTATTTGTCGAATGTGAGTTTATTTGGCGATCATTTGTGCATATTGTCCAATTCATATAAGCGTGTGTTTTTGTGCAATTACTGAAATGGGGTTATTATGTAATTAAAATAGAGCCACGTTGCTGATAATCTCAATAATTGCAATATAATTCTATTTCAATTGTTTGAAACACTTATAATTATATCAACACTTGCTCTCCTATATTTGAAGTTTAATCGTTTGAAACAGTTT